CCCCCCCCCCATCCCCCATGTGTCCTAGATTATCTTGAAACAATGCTGACTTCTTGTTACGTTGTTTTTTATTTGCAAAGACTGTTTTGTTCAGTAGGTAACAGATTGACTCTTCTCAACTCAGCAGGGACGAAAATTCCTCCTTAAACCCTCACTCCCAGTATGCAACTTGTGCTGGCTCAGGCCTTCCTCTGCGCGTCCCCCAGGTCCCCCAAAGCCTGGCTCTGTGCTGTCAGTGAATTGCTTGGCATTTCACAGCTGAAGAAACCTTAACATTACCTGGTAAACCGGCCCGTTTCATAGAAACGACCATAATGTAGAGAGAGGGTTAACTTGTTTATCCTCAATGTTCCAGGCAGGACAAAGGCCCCAGCAGGTTTCCTGCCTGCAGACTCTTTTCTTTTTTGACCAGGTGGAATAGCCTGGACGTTAAGTGCAGGGGAGCCGCTCCGAGCTGGAATCTCAACTCTTTCGGCTTCTTCCTGTGTGACGCTGTCTAGTTACTTCCCCTCACTGCTATGAGTTTCCTCCTCCATGAGCTGAGGATAATAATAGTGCTGGCCTCATGGGGTTGTTGTGGGGATTAAATGAGGAAAGCACTTAAACCAGTACCTGTTGCTCGAACATGCTTTATATGTAGCAGTCATCACGGCACCACGTCCTCAGCTTCATCATGATGTTTTAGAAGCGTGACACTCAAAGACTGGGTCACATTCAGCAGAGCATCACAATGAAGGGCGCAGGTTTGCTTCTTAGCCACTTACTGCCTTTGTGACCTTTAACTCAGTATCCTCATCTGTAAAATGGGATAAGTGACATCAGCCTGGCCAGCTAGTTATGGGGGTTAAACTAGACAGCACATGTAAATAAAGCCCTTATCTTGGTTCCCGGGTCATCGTCTGGGCTCTGAAATGATAACTCTTGTCATTATAACCTTAGTCTAGCTCAAAGGCCTATGTGAGATCAAGCTTCGAAAGGTAGGTATTTGTAAGAGGTGTTTTAGCTAAAAGACACGGTGTCCTCGGATTTTAGATGCCAAAGGAACACTTGTTAAATGTTCTCTCTGATTCTAACAACCTGATTTTTTTTCACCTTGCAGCAGGAGTTCTTTGTAGTACACCGCTTTCTCTCCTTCTGTCCTCTGTGTGACTGTCACCTTTGTTGTCATTGCCATCGTCCAGGAGAGCCTGCCGTTAATGAATGCACTAGCGTCATTACTATCGCTGTGTGCTCAGAAGTCCTGTTCTTGTTGTAGGACTGTGACCTCTTTTATGATGGAGGGAAGCCGGCAGACGCGAGTGTCTCGACCCTACAAGATCAGCGAATCTTCAAAGGTCTGTGAATGGTCGCTCACCACCTGTGCAAATTGCCCGGGAAGTGGGATGTTTTTCTAATGAGCTCATTCTTAATGTACAGACTGGTGTTCTGGTCTTGGTGGCAGTGTTCATCTCCTGATAGCACGGGCCAGGAGAGGAGGAATCGTAAAATCAGAGCTGCGAGGGTGAGGGATGGTAGAGACACAACTCAGCTTATATATTCTGCACCACAACCCTGAGGTGGGTGGGACAGGATAAAAGCCATGGGATTGCCATTCCCCACTTGGGGGCTCAAAAACTCCAAGGACAAGTCCATTGAGAAGCCAACGCTGACCTTATAGTGGGGTCAGCATGCTGCGTACCTGGATGTGAAGGGCCCAGGGTCTTCCCCCATCGTGACTTTCTGGGGCCTGAGGAGTGAGTGAGGATGGCTTCCCAGGGCTGGGTCACCAACCTCTGTCACACTGAATGTATCAAAATCACCCTGGGAGAAGGTGAGGGTGTCTCATTAGATGCATATCTAGCCCCGCCTCAGACCTGCTCAATTAAACTCTGAGAGCTGGACCTGGAAATCTATACCTTCATCAAACTCCTTGAGGGCCTGGGAGCAGCAGCCCTTGTCCTCACAGCTGCTATAAGTAAGGATTGGGGGACCGATTTTCAGGACAGTCCCCTCCTATACCTGCTTCCTTATACGTATCAATAACACCCCCTTTTCTTTAGAAGTGGCCCTTTTTGGAGATCACAGTTTATGGTTACCTTAGATCATCCTTTTCAGTGAGGCCGATATTCTCCCCAAGGCGGCAGAATTGGTTTTTGGGGTATGGAGAGAATTTTACTCTTTTTATGACTATAGCACAGCTATGCATATAGCACATGCATGGGCAAACAGAATACATGTGGTGGTAACATTTTCATGGGGGCTATTAGAAAAAATGTTGAGAAAGATTGAGAAAGACCACATTAGATAAAGGGAGTTGTGCATATACTACAGATTTGAGGAAAAAATGAGAGGAAGAGGTTCTACAGATGTGCATAAAACAAAAACGGGGTGTAGCTTTCAGGAGAGGTTGGTTCTCCTGAGAAGCGGTCTCCTATTTCCTTTTACATTCACTGAGAAGGCTCTGCCAAGCCCGGCTTTATCTACTGTGAAAACCCAGGAAGGTTTCGCTGCTGTCTCAAAGGGGCTTTGTTCCAGAGCTTGGCTGCGGAGACAGTGTCGCTTTCTAAGTTCGATAGCGCTGTAAGTCTTTGTCCCTCGAAGCCAGACTCTGAGTTGGTTTCTTTCTGAATCGAAGCTTTTAGGAGGAGGGTCCTCTATCCCTTGGTTGGTTATATATATGTTCCTAACTATAAGTGTACCTTGATTTCTCTAGACGTTAACAGACCCACGTGGCCTGTACCCAGATTTAAAAAAAAAAAAAAAGAAATTATCAAACCCCTCCAAGTCCCTACATTGCCACTCTCCTGACTTCCGACACTGCAGGTTTGCTTGCCCTTGAACTTGACGTAAATGAACCAGAGGGTAGGTGCTCTTGTTGTGCCTGGCTCCTTTCACCGAGCATCGTGCATCTGAGATTCACCCAGGTGGCTGTGTGTAGTGGTAGATTGTCGCTCCTCAGTGCAGTGGAGTGTCCTGTTCACTGTTCACTGTGAACTCCCACTGTTCACTGATCTATTCTAACTTGCGACATAGGAAACAAATGAGTAAACAGGGTCGATGCCATCAGAATGTTGGGGAAGTCGGGGCTTCAAAATGAATGCGGAATGCTGCGCCTCTGTTATGGACGTCTCTTTAAAACTGGGGAATCACGCTTGTCTGTTTTTTTTGCAAGTTCTCATCTCTGCAGCTACACTAAAATAACCAGGTACAGAATTAAATGCGCCTACTTAGCATGGAGACCCAGTTTTAGAAGCAGCACTGCCCTTTTCCCTGCCCCTGCTCCTGCTCCCTGCACCAGATGGTTCCCCTTGGCAGCTGTCATCCGGGGCTTTCCCCGATCCCCGCCCCTTGGGGCTGCTTCCCTTTCTACTTAGCAGCCTGGGGTCATGTGCGGAGTCCCTGCACCCCCACCAGCTTAGGGACAACCAGGGGCTCAGGGTGGGCAAACAGCCCACCTGATGCCCTTCACTTGCTTCTCTCGGGACGCGGAGCCTTTACTGTTATGAGAGCACCTGCTGCTGCAGGGCCTTTTCATTTCCTTTCTTCAGTCCACACCTGAGAGGAGCCCCAAGCCAGTGTGTGTCGGTGCCCAGACCATTCCCGCTTAATGAGAAGCCAAAACCAGGCCAGCCCGGCTCCCTCTGCTACCAACCAGAATAGACGTAGCTATCCATGTATGGGACCTAGGAGGGACCACCCGGTAATATAAGAGCAGTCGAGTCTAGCTCTCTAAACTCCAATGGGAAGGAAACTTGGGGCAGTACCTATCTGGGGTCCTCATCGGAATGCAAGGTCCTTGTCCGCACCTGTAATGTAGATGGAGCCGTTGATGCTGGAATTAGCCGGACGAGGCAGAACCACAGGGAAATTAAGGACCTCAATTACAAATGTGTTGCAGGCAGTAAGGAGCAGATTTGGAGGGGAAAGAGAAATGAAACCCACTGCTGTAGGACCCATGTTGACAAGTAACCTGTAAGAATTCAGGGACCTGTAAGCCAGTCACACAGCTGCTCACACCTACTAAGCCCTCAGTCCGCCTTCCTCTCTACCCCATTTCCCTTTTTCGGGCTTAGTGCCCAGCCAGCCCTTTTCCTCCATCGTCCTCAAATCGACCAGCTCCCTAGTTGTTATTTCTGAACGGCCTGTTTTCCCCTAGATTGAATTTTCTTGTTGTTTTTATAGTGAGGAAATAAAGGAGTGTGCATGCAGTATCCTGAAAGCCCGAAGCATAATTAGCCCTCCAAGGATTTAGAAACTATTGTCTAGGTCTGACATATCTTATCTTCAAAAGCACATGGCAGACATATAGCGCTCAATAAATGCCTGCCAGCCTGAGTTTATGGAATTGATTCATATCAATTGATTTGTTAAATCTAGTCTAGCATGGTGATTACAGGCCTGGCCTCTGGAATCAGACCTGTGTTCAAATCTAAGCCCTGCCGCAGTCACTGTGGGGCTTGGGGCAAGTTTCTTAGTCATTCTGACCTCAGTTTTTCTCATCTGGAAAATGGGGATTATAATAGTAGACATTCCTTGGGAGCGTTTTCGTGATGCTCAAATGAGAGCATATGTCAAATGCACAGCAGTGCAGGGTACACATANATGGGGATTATAATAGTAGACATTCCTTGGGAGCGTTTTCATGTTGCTCAAATGAGAGCATATGTCAAATGCACAGCAGTGCAGGGTACACATATGCCCCCAGGAAAAGAGCGTTTCTGCATTTTACCCTAGCAGTGGCTGGTGAAGCCATGTTTCTGGAATTAGGGTCTCCAGAGCACCTTAGTTTGGATCACTAGAAATGGGGGTCTCTGTAGCATAACCCACATGCCTTTCTAAGACACAGAAAGCAGCCTTCCTCGGCACTGAGTCTCCGTGGGGCCTGACAGTCACAACAGCCCTCCTTGGGCAGGCTCTTTGCCATGACCGTCTCGGT